TTTGTTCATTAGACGTAACACGATGATTCTATTATATAATAAAACAATATATAATCAAAATAAAAAGAATTTTTGTTTTTTTGTTTTTTTCTTACAGTAATACTTTTTTGAACGATAACACTTAAAACAACGTCATCACGATTATCAGAATAAGAAAAATTGTAAAGACCATGTTGTGGAATATTGAAAATAAATGCTTCACATGTATGAAAATGATGACGAAAAAATGGTTCAACTTTGACACATTTATGTATAGCTAAAATAAGTTTTAAGATAAAGAAAAATATATTTTATTTAAAATTAATAATCTATTTCAGAAATTCGAACAGATTTGTCGAAAAAAAAGCTTCTTTCTTATAAAAACTATTTCATATCGATTGAGATGCTTTGTTGCTTAGTACATAAAAACTATTTTTTTTTGCTTTTCTCAGCACGAAACAAAACATATTACAATAAAAATCTTTTCTTTTTGTAATAATGTGGGATACACATGGAAAGAATAAGATAGATGAAAAATGAAAAGAAATATTGCTAAAACCTTCTCACTGATGATTATATTGCTAAGCAAAAAAGCGACTTCCAAATAAACTGAGTGAAGATTATGACTTCATATATACTAATAATAATAAAACGAAAGTCTTAAACATTTGCGGTAATTTTATATTTATAGTTACAAACAAAATGTTTGATGTTATCTAAGGTAATGTTATTAATCTGTAATTTTTATTTTATGGTCGTTGGCTAATATATTGATGGATTGTAGGACTATAATTAAAATCATTTAAGGTCACTCCCTCAAAAATTGATCTCAGACTAAGAACATCCAAATTGCATGAAACTTTCAGAATATGTTGAGACTAGCGAGCGGTAGCTATGATAACATTTTCAGCCCTATATCATGACGTTTGATAGAGATATTCACTAAACAAGGATCAAAAATAGCTCCATCGTAGAGCCAAGATTTCTCTCTCGACCTTAATTTTACCTAGGACTAGGCCTTTTCTTTTTAAATTTTAACCGAAGAAAATGGATGGCAAGTTTAATGGCTCAAAAAAACCCTAAAAAAAAATGACGCTGTTTTTATAGAGATGTTTTCTTATATGAAAATGAAAAGGCTTATTTTAAAAAAGAGCCACGAGGGCGGCTAGCCCTAGACACAAGCTTTTAAACAAAAACAAAATAATTGACTTTATCTTTTACTATGATAGAGTTCTGCTGATGCTGCGTTATTGCAGCTACGTTCTGAGAAAAATGAAAAATGATTTTCGGTTTTCTTTTGTAAAAACGGCTTGTTTTTCTAATAGGGAATGATGAAAATCTTCCAAAAATTTTTGGAAAAAAAAGAGATGCCGAATAAAAATTTTTGTCGTGTATGACGGACTATTTCTCCATGAATTTATCTCAACTTCGATGATTCTGATGAAAAGCAACTTTTTTGAGGGGAGAGGAAGGCTTCGTTAAACTCTCTGAGGTGATTATTATTAATCTCTCATACAATTTTTGTTTTATAAAGAACAACACATTGATTAGCTCAATATGTAAACATTTTAAATAAAAATTACTAATGTTTTTATATCAATCAAGTAATAAACAACGTCATAAATATTTTTGTTATTATGTTTCCTATTGAATTTTTCTTTAATATTATTTGTAAGTATGCAATAGCAAAACAGAATAATATTTAGTCAAAAAAAAGCCAAAAAAGTGTTCGTAAAACACAAAATTCTTTTTGTTTTTTGGTTTTGATAGTTTATTTAAGTTATATAAAATTTTTTCTTTTCTAACTTACAACAATCAAATATTCCTGTAAGACCACCAGTAGTATCTGGTACAACAGATGAATTAGCATCAATAGTAATTAATATTGGTTCATCTTGTGAATCTGTCATTTTCCATTCAAATTGAATTAAATCAGTTGTTTTCATTTTTAAAACTAAATATGAAACAATAAATTATTTCATATTTTATTTGTTTTCTAACTTACTTAATTGATCACCAAATATTGGAAATGAATGAATAGTAATTTTTGGTTCAACAATAATTGTTCCTATTTGATTATTTGCTGTTTTAAAACAAAAAATACCTGTTTCATGAAATTTATGAATCATATAACCACGACATGATGGTTCATTTGGCCAAAAGAAATGTTTTCCTTCTGTTTTTAACTAAAAAAGAAATATTTGAATTCCGATTTTTTTTGTTTTTATTTTCAAAAACAAACAAACTTCAATAGATTGTTGATTTGTTTGATCAATAATAAAAGGTTCAATTTGTACAATAGTTTGTTTTTCTATTGTATTCCATTCAAATATAATTGAATCATTTTGTTCAATTGAAATAACATTTGGTTGAATATTTATATCAGTTATTTCAATATGTTTTATATGATAATTATCTTTAATAATACATACAATTATATCATGAATTTGATTTGTTTCAGTTAAACGAAATAAAAATGATGTACCAAATTCATTAAATGTTTTAGTAAAATTTCCTTTTGATTGAGTACGATTTGTTATTATTTCTGATGTTTGTTCAACTTTATAAAGACCACCAGATATAGGACAAAATTTTTTTTCTTCTATACGATAACCATTACCACGTTTTGATATCCAATCAAGTTTAATAGTATCACCTTTATGTAAAATTAATTTTTGACTTTCTTTATTATCACTTAAAGAAAATTTTATTTCATTTTTATGAATTATAAGACAATTCTTTTCACAATTTTCATTTAAACATTTTCGTGATTTTAAAATAATTTCACGTTGTGATGATGGAATTATACAAAAATATAATTCAATTTTTGATTGATGAAGATTTAATGAAAGTAAAATACGTCTATTATTTTTTGTTGTATTATTTTTTATATTTAATAATTCAAAACCATTATTTACTCTATAATAATTATCTTCATCTTTATAAACTTGAAATATATCATATTCATCTGTTTGATTAGTTTTAAATTCAATTGTATCACCACTTTCAATACGATTAGGCATTTGTTCAGGAAATGAACCATTACTTATATCTATGACGTAAATTATATTTTCATCATCATCATCATCATCAGATTGAAGACTATCATTTGGCTTATGATTCTCTACTAAAGCCATGGAAGTTTATGCTAAACAAAGGAAATAACTATAATACTGTTTTTAGTTTTATTAAATTTTTTATTTTTATTAAAAATAAAGAAGTGGTGCAAAAAATAAAACAAATTCTGTTTGACAACAACATTTGAACGTTTGGTTGTTTACCTGTATAGTTCTTAGATTTTTCGCATGGATAATTTTTGACGATCGATCATTATCCATAGTTATTAGTGTACAATCAGAAAGCCAAAGAGAGATAAGAATAAAGAAGTTTACATCACTCATAATTCTACACTCTGAAAGAAAATTAAATTATTATCATGCAAGAAATAAAAACAACCATGCAGATAAACAAAAAATAGATAAAAAAAAAACTATTCAAGATATTCATGCATATATGTATATATACACACACAAAATTCAAACCTTTGTTTTCTTTACGATTTGTTGAATATAATGATACTTTGTAAAAAAATAAAATAATATTTTTTGTTTTATATTTTTGTGGGTGTTCGTTTTTTTTTCGATTATTATTTCAATGTATTCACACTTTACATTGAAGTTGCTAAGCAATAAACTAAAGAATCTTTGAATTGTTATCTTCA